AAAGCAAAATCCAAAATGATTAAGCCCAGGTGGTGAAACGCGTGAGAGGAATTGGTGTGGGAGAGACTTATGGTTGTGTGCATGCTGCTTATCATACTTTGGATTTTATTTTGGATTTACTTCAATAAAACTTTGGATTTCACTTACACTGGTCATCGTACGACTAATTTTTTTGTTGATTGATTGGAGAAGTGAGGAGCACATTGCAGCCTGCACAGCGTGTGTATTAAGTGCAGCCAGAGATAGAATTGGAGCGGTGAGTTTACAGAGTTCTCTATTTAAAGTGATATTCAATTCTCAAGGGGAGAAGCGCCTTGGGTGATGTGGGAAGCCCAGCCATTCCCTTATTGGGACAATTCCTATAAAGATCAAATAACATATAAGACCAAACCTCTGGCAAATGTTATCTCTGAAGAGTGAGGTATCTGTTTATGTGAGTTGGTGCAGTGAATCATCATAAAGATGTGCATTGATATAGCCTAAGAAACTTAATCCATCTCTAACAAAAGTGATCCATGGGTGTGGGAAAAGCCACTGTATTTTAGTCAGTAGTCAAAATCAATCTACAATGTGTATATATACTTATATATGTGTCATAAACAATTATGTACCTTTTGATATAAACATCTGATTACAAAACACCCATTTAACCACCCATTATTAAATGTTGTCATTAGGGATGTCCCGATAACGATGCTAGCATCGGAATCGGGCCCGATACAGGGCATGTTGACAAGTACTTGTACTTAACGCCTCCCACAGGCTGAGCACTGAGATGCGATGCAGCGATCCTGCCCAGCGCCAACTACAAGAGGCATCGCGTGAGGCTACGGGGATCGGAGTGAAACTGTGAGTAAGGGAAGCTGGAATGGGGCTGGCTGTAAATCTATTGCTATAGTGTACTGGACGTGTGTAATGTATATGTAGTGCATACATACAGCACACACCTCCACTACACTCCAGCAATAGAGTTACAATTTTCCACTGCTAACATGAATAGGTTAAATCATGATCCATAGTACATAACATGTAGTTGTACTATGGATCATTTAAAGTCACCTGTCCCTTTAAGAAAAAGTATCAGTAATTGGTATCGGCAAGTACATGAGGGGATGTACTTGTACTTGGGCCTGAAAAAGTGGCATCGGGACATCCCTAGTTGTCATGATACTTCCCCTTGTGTTGAACCTCCCAATAGGAGTTCATTCCCCATCTCTAAACAAAAACTGAAAATGTAAACCACTCTTCACTCCCCCATACAATGCCCCCCCCCATACTCCCACATCGCCCCTCCTCCCTAGACCCTCCTCCCCTCATTGCATAGCACATCATACCCATATAGTGACTGGCTAACTGAAACGTGATGATAAAAGAACAGCAATAACCTCAAGTTCAGCCAGAGAGTTATATTCTATGTTGTAGCCCTGGTTTCGGGCTCCGTGGCCCAAGCTCTCCACAGTCCCCCTCCCGCCAACTCTCCCCTTATATCGCCCCCATCGTCGAATAAGACGCGCAGGACACAGGTGATGGCCTCCTGATGGCCTCTCGCACCTGATGGCCTCTCGTGCGCGCTCTGGTCTCTGCCCGCTGTTACTTAGGTGGCAAGGACGCCAAACCGATAGGTCGACCCCCTATTGATTGTCAAGGGGACGTCGGCCCTCGGCCGCCAGTCTGGGCCTCTGCACCGCTGAAATGCGGACCCCAGATCAGGCACAGACCCAGAAGTGGGAACCCAGAGGTCACAGGCGGGAACACATCATCCCTGTACCCGATGACTCACGCCATGCGGGGCATCCAGCTGCCAAGGAAAGTTCCCGTCAATACAGAAATAATAAATATCAATTCATAGATAAACAGATCTAATGGGCACATTAACATTGTAAATAACTTGTTGCATTCCTAAAATCCATACAAAAGATCACTACTATTTTACAGTACATATTTCATCTTAAGGTGTATTTAGCATAATTGTTCCTATTTTTGCTCAAAATATATAATTGTTCAAGAGTGTATCCTTGAAGACTATCCTAACTCCAACATATTGCAGTACACTGAGCTTTATTTCTTTAAAATTATATTTCATCATAATACATATTTCCTTGAGTTTAGATCAAAGTACATAATTGTTAATATAGACATAGTTAGGTTTCCTCTAAATTGCTACAAGCTCTAGAACAATTCTACATTACTATTCAAATAAGGTATATCTAAACATGATTATCATAGAAGAATATATATATGCATGGGCCAGTAAATAGAGGCAACACACTTGGAATAGGACCTGATAGGTAGAAAACCTCCAGATCCTGAATATGCAGTATTTCAAAAAACTTTGTGGATCGCCTCTATCCAGGCTCCCTTATATGACCTCTCTTTCTCAAGCAGAGTTCTATGGAGCCACCTTTGTGTGTGATAGTAAGCTGTGTGTCTCCACAAACACGTAGACACAGCAAGTCAAGCTACTTCCCTCTACCTTCTACCAGCTAGATGAACTGTTGCTGGAGATTGTGCTGTCTCTTGTGATTTTGTACTGGACAGAAAGTTCAGGGAAGCTGAGCTGAGAGACTGGGAACCAGCTGTTGAGAAACATGATGACTGTAAGTGCTTGGTAAATACTTTGCTAGGCCAGATATATTTGTTTGATCTGGATTCATTATTTGAGAGTTTAATACTACTTTAAACTGGGCAGAGAATGAAAAAAACAACAACAGTAGAACATTAAATTTTTTTGAAAGGCCAAACTTTGTTTTATTTTTAGTTTTGGATAGTAGAAAGGGGCGCTTGCCAGGTTTTTGCCACCCCTTTGTGAAAATTACCTTACTTTTCCTGTTTCAGAAACACAGCGGGATATAAGAGGAAATTATTTCAAAGTGAGTGGAAATCCCTTTTAGACAATTGTCACTAACAGCTGTCCCCACTGAAAGATTTCCTTCCTCCTCCTGTTTTGTGTGACAACTCAAAAATGTTGGATGTCCTGTTACTTTCTGCTTTGGAAACAAAGGTCAGAGGGCCAAGAGTGAGGCAGAATCTCTGTGGCAGGGACAAAGACGGCACAAAAAAACCTGATAGAGGTTTAAACCATTTCCTACTCTATAAAAAAAAAACAAAAGAAAACCTTTTGGCTTTACATACACTTTGATATTACTTTTATAAGTTTTAATAGCATTCAAGTCTGACATATTTGTGCAATGGACTCATGCAGCTGCAGACATTAGTGTATGTTCCAAATAAAGACCCTTATTATTTTATTTTTTGTTTTTTTCTGTAAGAAAACCTTCACCTTCAACCTGTGTCATACAACCAGTGAACGTGCTGTCTTGCTCTACTCACTTGAACTGATCAATCTGGTTGTAGTGTACAAAAATTAATTGTACTTAACGCTGTCATAGGAAATAAGCCCACTTTTTGTTTCGCTTAACAAAGGTAATTACTTTTCAAAGGGGAATTCAAAGTAACAGTAATTTTGATGGGTATAAATCTACTAGTTGGTCTGGAAATACCTTGAAATTCTATGTAAATCTGTGGCACCACTCTCTCCAACATTCCCCTGTGAGCAAGGGATGAATCCTTGATGCCCAGAACTCACAAAAAGTGATTTGAATGGCTCAGCTCAGCCTTTAAGAACCGTGCGCTTTTGCGCGGATGGCTTTACTGACACTCTTTGTCAGTTGTCCAGACTGGGTTTTTTGTCTGTGCAGATCCGCTGAATTCTCTGGCTTAAGTACTGGTCTGTTGTACCAGCTTGTAAGAATCCTCTAGAACGCATTCCTTTCACTGGAGGATGCCTGTTGGCAAAGGCTTGGACACATTCATTAAGAGGATTAATGGAAATGGATGGAACGAGTACCCTCTTACCCAGTAAGCAGAAACTTAAGGCTCACGTTGGTTGAATAGACACCAAACATGTCAAGCCTTAAAATTGAGCGCACCCCGAAATCGCAATAAACTACCATACCCAAAATTGGCCATATGCGATGCTTTAAATTTTTTTACCACTCATCGGTTTAGTGTTATCATTGAATAATGGGTCTATAATTTGTTGTTCGTGCTCTGATGTTCACGGTGATATGTAACATGTGCGGCGTAATGGGTGCAATCGTCGTTTTTTTACGTGTATGCGCACCCGACACATGTTTGCACAATTCTTTTTTATGTGTGACTTTAATTTAGTTTTTTACTTTTTTCACTTAACTTTATTGTTATCACATAGGGGGCTAAGGATCCCCCTATGTAATAGCAAAAATGATATGACAGGTCCTCTTTATGGAGGCATCAGGGGTCTTTAAGACCCCTAATGCCACCTAGGAACCCCTAAAGCAGCCGATGAAGCACAGATCTGCTTCATCAGCTTCTCTCCAGCTTCTGTAGCCAGAGAGTGACAGCAGAATGCGGAAGTGATGTAATATACATCACTTCCTACATTCTGACACCAGAGAGGAGATCGGAGGGAGATTGTGTGCTGAGCTCCCTCTGTTCCCCTGTCACAGAACTGCCGTGCCGGTCCCGAACCGTGAGCATCGGAGCTCGAGACCAGCGCTGTTGAGGGGGTGGCGCACTGACCGGCACCTCACACTGCTTGTATGTAAACGGGTATCATTGCCTGTTTTTTAAATGTTGACAGTTTCCTGCTTCTGTGCGCCGTGTAGCATGCACGGGTGGGCGGGGCTAACATGTCATTTTTAGAAGCCTCAAGAAGCTCCTGGCCGGCCGTTTAATTACAACAGATGGCCGGGAATCGGTAAACAATGCAATAATAAATTATATATTCACTAAAAATACTGTTACCTTTAAATCTGAAATGCTTTGGAATGTGGCAGACATATCCTACCTAAACATGGTTGCTGTGGTCATATAGCCTGTCCATAGTTGCTATGGACATTACTTGTATGATTTCTCTTGCATCTCTTCTTGTTTTCATATTTGAGACGTTTGCACATTGTACACTCAAATAGTTTATGCAGTCACCTTGTATAAATACTTTTAAACGGTTTGTCTTTCAGATGCTGCCCTGGTGGACTATAAGGTGTATTTTCATTCACCAGCAATTATTAGAGGAGAGATCATGTGAACTATTTGCTATGGCCCAAGCCAGTATAAATGAAGGTAGGCCATTTATGATTACATGCTGTGAACCAAAGTTTAAATAACTAACTAACATATTTCTGTTTATATTATATTCTCAAGTTTTTAATATATTTTGTTTGGCCATATTCAGGCAATTATCTGTCTGCCCTCATCATGATAAATATGTTTCAAAGTCTGCTGTGATAGTTTTTACTGACTATAGGAATGTTTAACTTCGGTTAACACACATATTAAAGAATCTTTCTCAACTGAAAAAAGTGACAGTATCAATCATGTTGAAAGATCTCTATGATCAACACTGGATTTTTGTTGCTCTAGAAATGTAACCACTGAGGCCTTATTAACACATTAGCGGTTTTCCGCTCGTATTCGTACACGCAGAACCACACAAAATATAAAAACGAATATATCCCAATATACCTTGTTCACACCTGCGCGACGTCCACGTGGCATGAAACCGCGCATTGATATTCTGGGCGGATTCAGCGCATTCTGGCTATAGTAGTAGCTGCAAAGGTGTGGAATTTGTGCGTTAGTGTGGGTTATCGCGCCGCGCGGAAAACCGCACTGATTTTCCAACCGCTATGTGTGAGTGGAGCCTTACTCTTTAACCCCCCTCTCCCTTCCCCAGGCTTAATAATTACCATGATTTTTTTTGCAATAGCCACGTTGGGAAAAATAAGGCAATTTTATGCTTAGCTTAGTCAGAGCCTTTGTCACTTCCTTTGATGTTAGCTGAAAAAAACATTTTTTTCTTTCTTTTGTAAACTTCTAATCTTTCGTTCCTCCATGTGATGAAGATGAACAAAGGCAGACTTATTTGTAGTCCGGCCTAGGTGGCAACCTTTACTCGCTCTATAGATACAATGAAGGAGTGAGCGTAGCCAGCCAATGGACAGGAAGTTTGTTATTTTCAGGCTTACCAGGAAATAAAGGAAATTATGTCTTGAACGTTTGGTATTATTGTGTGCACCACGCTGAACATAGACCAAAAAAAGCAAAGAAGAGAGTTGTCTGAGGAGAACAGAAATATGTTATAGTCTAGCATGTCAAAGGTAAAGTCTATAAGACCATCTTCGAGCAGCTTGATGTTCCTGCGATTACAGTTGCAAATGCTATTAAGAAGTTTAAGGTACATGGGAAGGTATCCAACCTCTCTGCATGTGTGGATGCAAGAGAAAAATCAACCCAGGATTAAACAGAAGGATAGTGAGGAGAGTAGACGTTATACCCCGGAATCCAATGGGTGCTGGAACAACTGGTGGATAGCGACACAGTTTACAATCTAGAAGATATGTGGTCTGCACACCATTCTACTTCGGAATGTCATCTTTATTCAGATTCCTTTAGCATGACATATGGATGCATCCATATGCCATGCTAAAGGAATAGAAATTAAGAGGACATTCTAAAACAGAATGGTGTGCAGACAACATATTTTCTAGCTGACCTGTCATAGGTTGGCTCTATTGATCAGGAACTCAGCGAACACATACTTCCGATTGCTGACTTGCCGATCCTCTCCCTGCAGAGAACGGTGACTGTCAGTCACCACTCCCCCAAGGGATTCCCCCCCTCCCCTCTCTGTTTCTCTAGCGCTGACTGAAGGAATGGACTAGGGAGGGGGCAGGCACAGCAGGCTCTGCTTCTAGAGAGGCAGAGCCAGCTGTCAATCAGCCATCAGGGTGGATCTCGAAAGTATTGTCGGGATCCATCCCGGCTGTGGCACACCTCTCCACTATAAATAACTTATTTCTTACCTACCAAGCCTTTAAAAAGTAATTCTACTTTTGCGGAGAAAAAAAAATCAATCCCCTTTGCGTGATCAATGTACAATTGCAAGGATTTTAACAAACTTTGTTGCATATCCCTACCTGTTTCTGTTCTGAAGAAGAAGCTGTTTGTTGCAGTATGTCCTTTCCAAGCTGATTCCTGAATGGGGGGCCTCGGTTCATTATAACCAGCTGCTGGACTTCCTGTGTTGTAAAAGAAAAAAGTGCAGTGTCTGCATCCCTTTAGTAGTAATTAAGTAGCTGCCATATTGCACTGAATTTTTGTAACAGATGTAGAACATTACAGCGACTGCAGTTTTAAATGGAAAGGTAATTTTAATATTATTCAATTACAAAATGGCTTGTGCAATAATTATATATGCTATGTTCATTTTTTTAAAGATTTCATTTTAAAAATGCGGAGTTATCCTATAACCTCCCAGTCTTTCTCTCAACCAGCTTTATTTGCCCAGCCTATACCCAAAGTAAAGTAAAAGGATGAAGATGGGTCTTTTTAAAAATAATTATTTGATTGATTTTGCATCATTTTAACAATAAAAGGGATCTCACAACAAGAAAAGAGGAAGGTCGACATAGCCACTGAAAACTAAGGAATTATGTGGTAGCAGTCTAGAAGGGTATAGAGTCGGTGTCCTGAAGCCATAGACATGATACAGAAGAGTCTTACAATGGTAATGGTAACAGGTATACAGGAGAGGATAAAAGTGGAAATAATAAGACATCGGGAGCTTTTAATACAGGTTCTGATTAATCCTAATATGAAAAGGAGACAGCTATAATGTAGGAGGAGGAGATCCACGGTTTCCAAACCTTGTCAAAGAGAGCTGGGTAGCTTCTGCAGGCCTTCCCTAGAAAAGCCTGGGATACAGGGACCTCCTCCATGGCACCAGCTTTGGCTGTTACCTGCGTAACCTGAATGTGTTCTTTGAGCGTTTGTGTCCGTACTTAAGATTTGGAGCCCTTGAGAAGGAGGTTGTGGATTTCCTTGAGGTAGTCGACAAGGCTGTGTCATATCTAGCGGGCTACAGTTAAATGAGTCAAAGCCTCTGCTGGAATCTACAGCCCTACTCAATTCTACCAGAAGGGAAATATGGCTGAAGTCTTGGAGCGCAGATGTTTCTAAATATTGTGGAGTCCTGATTGAAGGTAAACTGTTCCATTTTTTAACAAGATACTGTCTTATCTAGATCAGCCAAAAATAATCAACAAAGGAAAAAGGAAATTCAGGAATAGACCCCTAGCTTCTTGGTTGTAGAAGCTAGGGGTGGCAGAGACTGTTCAGTCATCATTGGGTTATAATTTTAGCCAGCACTTTTGTGTTACAGCTCCTTCAAGAGGTTTACCGGCTTCAATTTGTAGCCTCCCCCTTGCAACATTTTTTTTCACACATCCAATGAGAAATCAGGTAAAGGCAAGAGTGCTCTTGAACTGCTTTTAGATTTTTTTTTTCAGCTGCAGAAAGTAACAGTGCCTGTACCAATAATTCCGTATTTTTTAGGGCTTTCACACACATTTTTGGCATCTGTAAGCCATCTGTAAAATACTGAATGGTAATAAATCTGAGGCTGGTGAACAAACATTCAATCTTGAAGGGTTTCTAAACACTCTGTTTTTTTTTGCATATATCTACTGCTAGCAAGAAGTAGAAATATGCAAAAAGTTTTAAAAACAAAAAAACGCTTTAACAGCAATTTAAACTTATCCCGTCTTTGCCGCGTGCTCCCGTCCGAGAATCCGTAACTGCTCGGGCGGCCACAAAGCATCTTGGGGCGGGTGCATGTGCAGTTTGGATTTTCGGCCGGGAAACGAGCAGAGACGCAAAGTAAGTCTATGGACGCGTGCACCCGCATGCAGACACCACGGGATCGGAAGTGCTGGAGGGACAGATGAAAACATCAGGAAAGAAGATGATCGGATTAAGAGACATCATTTAAGGTAAGTGCTGACATTAACATTGGGGGGAGGGAAAAAATGTTTTGCCTTTTTAATGTCACTTTAAATTTATGCTAAAGAGATTGTTTTGATTTTAACCGTTACAGATAACTTGTTTGTCTAATTCTTGTACTAAAACAAAGGGAACTGGCCCAGTAATAGTATTAAGAGGTTTTTCTAAACAAAAAGCTTTTCTAAAAAAAAAAAAAAACCTACAACGTTTCCATTCACATATAGGCATTTGAAATTCAGCATGTTTTCCGAACGCAAAAATGATTTCATGCATAAAATTATTTTGTGCGTACGTTTAAACACAGAAATGTTAATAAACGCGCCATTTGCACGCGTTTACAGATGCACCACAGTCAGTTGGAGACAGAAAACACTGACATCTGCCCCCAAAAAATTGCATGTACTTTTTCCCACGTTGCACGTTTTTGCTTGCATACGAACGCACAGGTGTGAATGAGCCCCATAGGAATGCATTGCTTTTTATGTTTTGCCCATTTATGTGTGTGTGTAAAAATGCCTATGTGTGAATGGAGACGTACAGTTACAGGAAAGCAAAGCATATAGACTGAGACAAATGTGCAGACATACACACATATGCACAAGTTACCTATCCTTTCTTTGCACATGCAATAGGCTATATGTAATAGGATACACTAAAAGTCACTTAGCTTCCGTTATAGCTGGTCCACTATTTTCAAATTGAACAGTAAATTTGGCATTAAGAAAAAAAATACTGCATCAGCTTCTATGAAGGGTGCAATTCTCTTTGCAAACACTAGATGGCGACACAGTACCATGAGTGTCATCTATGGTCAGCTATGTCAAAATGATGGGTTATTGTTGACAAGCTTGGGTCCAGCGTGTAAGCATGTGCTCCTGTAATACAATGGAAAACAACTAAACATGTACTTTCTTGCCAAATAGTTTACATTGCCCACATATACCACAATAGCATCTATTTTCCATTGTATTACAGGACAGCAAAAACTTGGCTTGTGTAATCACTGTTTGACTTAACAATAGCATTTGTTTGAGAGATGCCCCCACAAGAAAACCTGATGTGTGTTGTCCCTAAAAAGTCACAAAGTGCGCTTCTGAAAAAATATACATGTATTACAATAGCACATTGCTCTGTCTGCAAGAGTTTACGGAAAGTATCTTAAAGTCCTACTCAGTCCCTCCCACCCCTTCAGCATTGTCTAGCAGGGTGCAAGAGAAATCCAGCTTTTATTTCATTTCCATTAAAAAGTGGCACATTACTTTTCTTTTAAGACATTTAGC